GTCAATTAACCTATATTATAAAAGGAAAATTTTGGATTTTTAGGGATAATTAATTCCTTTGCTTTTCAAAATCTGAATATTTTAAATTAATTTAAAATTAAAAATCCGATTTTATTCTGTCAGAATGATAGAATTTTAACCATAAAGTAGTAAATATATTTTTTGATTTTATTCTGTCAGAATGACAGAGTGTCAACCATAAACTAGTAAATATATTATGAAAGAATACACAAAATCGATTCTTGAACTAATAATATACCAAATAATTAAATTGTATGATTGTGATACATTAAATAATAACAAACATTCTGAAAGAATAACAAGTATAGTTCTTAAAAAATAACAACATTCTTAAACAATGAGTGTGGCCATTATTTAATTCATTCTTCAAATCTTTCCCATCAGGTCTTCAAGTCATTCTTCAAGCCATTTCTATTAGAAATTCATTGCCAAGTAATTTGTAGTGATACACTTGTGTTTGTGTTCTGATATGAAAAAAATAAAGAATAAAATTCGAGTTCATTCTTAGAGAACAATCATTGTAAAAGAATAAAATTAAAGCTTCCCTGCCTTTTTTGGTTGTCTAGTTCTGATCAATTTGCAGGATTACATGTGAAGAATATTTCCCTTATTCATTCTGAAAGAATAGTAGCCTTCTTCAAACTAAAACCCTTTTTATTCTAAAAGAATATTGCTCGCATTCTGAAAGAATTTTCAGGTTAATATTCATTAGGTAAAGCAAACAAGTTATATTACAGTAGGTTAAAATAAAAATTTATAAAGTTTGAAACCATTTAAAAGCTAAAGTTCGCAAACCTTTAAGTATTACTCAATTAACTAAAATATTGTTAATAAACACTTTATACATTCTGGCAGAACACATTCTGCTAGAATACGCTTGTTCTCCATGTTTTCTTTTTTTTTTTCCACATCAATGAGACCCTTCAAAATCTATATCTACAAAGAAAACATAATCAACTTTAAAATATTAAAACTTTTAGTATATTCTAAAAGAATAAATTCACAAAGAAAATATAATCAACTTTCAAATATTAGAAATTTAGTACATTCTATGAGAATAAAAATTATAAATTCTGACGGAATGTAGTTCACATTAAAGAATTTTAATTTGTTCTAATAGAATGTAATCCTAAAACTGTAATGAAAAAAGATGGGTTCTTATAGACATTTTATCGAACATATAGAGGACAGAACCTTTAGACACTGTTGCAACAAGAAGAATAAGTAATTCCACAAAATCAAAATCAATTATATGAAACTAAAGATTGTAAATTATGTATTACTCATTGCTCCTCCATTTTTTCCAATAAATACGTTGAATCATCAAACCTAAATTTTACAAATAAAAATAGGACAAGTACCCCATTTAAAGAAAATAAAACAATTACTCTTTGCAAAGAATAATAGAGAGCTCTTTGCAAAGAGTAATTGTTTTATTTTCTTTAAATGGGGTACTTGTCCTATTTTTATTTGTAAAATTTAGGTTTGATGATTCAACGTATTTATTGGAAAAAATGGAGGAGCAATGAGTAATACATAATTTACAATCTTTAGTTTCATATAATTGATTTTGATTTTGTGGAATTACTTATTCTTCTTGTTGCAACAGTGTCTAAAGGTTCTGTCCTCTATATGTTCGATAAAATGTCTATAAGAACCCATCTTTTTTCATTACAGTTTTAGGATTACATTCTATTAGAACAAATTAAAATTCTTTAATGTGAACTACATTCCGTCAGAATTTATAATTTTTATTCTCATAGAATGTACTAAATTTCTAATATTTGAAAGTTGATTATATTTTCTTTGTGAATTTATTCTTTTAGAATATACTAAAAGTTTTAATATTTTAAAGTTGATTATGTTTTCTTTGTAGATATAGATTTTGAAGGGTCTCATTGATGTGGAAAAAAAAAAAAAAAAACATGGAGAACAAGCGTATTCTAGCAGAATGTGTTCTGCCAGAATGTATAAAGTGTTTATTAACAATATTTTAGTTAATTGAGTAATACTTAAAGGTTTGCGAACTTTAGCTTTTAAATGGTTTCAAACTTTATAAATTTTTATTTTAACCTACTGTAATATAACTTGTTTGCTTTACCTAATGAATATTAACCTGAAAATTCTTTCAGAATGCGAGCAATATTCTTTTAGAATAAAAAGGGTTTTAGTTTGAAGAAGGCTACTATTCTTTCAGAATGAATAAGGGAAATATTCTTCACATGTAATCCTGCAAATTGATCAGAACTAGACAACCAAAAAAGGCAGGGAAGCTTTAATTTTATTCTTTTACAATGATTGTTCTCTAAGAATGAACTCGAATTTTATTCTTTATTTTTTCATATCAGAACACAAACACAAGTGTATCACTACAAATTACTTGGCAATGAATTTCTAATAGAAATGGCTTGAAGAATGACTTGAAGACCTGATGGGAAAGATTTGAAGAATGAATTAAATAATGGCCACACTCATTGTTTAAGAATGTTGTTATTTTTTAAGAACTATACTTGTTATTCTTTCAGAATGTTTGTTATTATTTAATGTATCACAATCATACAATTTAATTATTTGGTATATTATTAGTTCAAGAATCGATTTTGTGTATTCTTTCATAATATATTTACTAGTTTATGGTTGACACTCTGTCATTCTGACAGAATAAAATCAAAAAATATATTTACTACTTTATGGTTAAAATTCTATCATTCTGACAGAATAAAATCGGATTTTTAATTTTAAATTAATTTAAAATATTCAGACTTTGAAAAGCAAAGGAATTAATTATCCCTAAAAATCCAAAATTTTCCTTTTATAATATAGGTTAATTGACTAAAATGCCCTTATGCTCAAATTTGTGTGATTATATGGTACATATTATCCTATTCTACTATCATAGACCATCAGATCATGATTTTTGATTATATTCCATCCAATGGTTCAGATCTATGCATTCTGGCACACAATAGTTACTAGAAACAAAATAACCTAACCCTATATATATATATATATATATCATGCATCATGTATAAGTACATTTATGTTGGAATGTATAAGATATATGTATCCTGAAAATGCTTAAATTACGTCAAGGAAAAAGGGTTTTCTTAACATTAGTTTTTTTTATCTTGTATGACCGTAACATAAAAGGAAAAAAATAACTCTTTCAAAAAAAATAACCAAAGTAAAAGGGTTTTCTTAAAACTAGCCTTTTTCTTTTTCCAATCGGTTACCCAATTAAAATCCTCAAATTAACAAGTTATAGCTTAAAAAAAATGACCAAAATTTCTTACTTGGAATATTTTAAGTATATAGGATTTCACCTTTTAAAATCCCGCAACAACCCCCATCTCATATGTTGTCAAAAGACAAAACTGCACAAATGGTCCCCGTGGTTTACACAAAATTGTCACTTTGGTCCAAAAAAGTTTTGGCTAGCACCACAAGTCCAAAGTTTCCATTTTATTGCATATTTGGTCCAATGGGTTAACTTCCGTCTGTTTCCCTCTGTTAAGTTATGTTTGACTAGTCAAATCAGGGGTATTTTGGTCATTTCCTATTTATGCCCTTTATTTTATATTAATAAAGGAGAGTTATAAGAACGAATCCCAATCCATCTTCTTTGTCATCGTTCTCATTTTGGTCTTCTTCAACTCTACGATCGATTTCTTCAAGAAATCAAAATAAAAAATGGTGCTTTGTTTTTGTGGTAAAATGGCCATAGTTCGCACAGCATGGACTGATAAAAATCCAGGTAGACGCTTCTAGGGATGCCCTACTGAGGTACGCATTTTTTTTTTGGATTTCAGTATAAATCTCCCATTACATGTTACGATCTTCTTTTGATTCTTAAATTTTGAAGGGATCCAAATGTCGATTTATTGGGTGGTTTGATGGTCCAATTTGTGAACGTTCAAAAGCTATTATACCTAGGCTGCTGAGGTCAATCAACAAATTGAAGTCACAAAACACAAGACTCAAGTGTTACCTGTTATGCAGTTGGGTGTTGTTCGTGTTTGTTCTGGTTTATAAGAAGTAGATTGAAGTGTAATGGTTTGGGTGGTTTGTAAGTGTAATGGTTTGGCTGGTTTCTAAGCAGTATATTGAAATGTAATGGTTTGGGTAGTGTTTTAAGGTTTTTGGTAGTATCTTGTTTAAGCAATGTAATCTTTTGGGCAATACTTTGTGGTAGTCTTTTTTGGTTATAATGTAAGCAATGTAAGACATGTTTTGCAGGAATTTGTCAATGGTGATTATATTTGGTATGTACATATTGACCAATTTATTTTGTTTGTGGTTTTGTTTAAAAAGGGCATATTAGTCAATTTATATTGGGCAATTTTGTGTAAACCACAGGACCATGTGTGCAGTTTTGTCTTGTGGTTTTGTTTAAAAGGGCATATTGGTCTATTTATTTTGTATATGGTTTACACATTATCAATGACAAATGTATGTTTTGATTAAAAGGGCATATTGGTCTATTTATTTTGTATGTGGTTTACACATTATCAATGAAAAATGTATGTTTTGTTTAAAAGGGCATATTGGTCAATTTATATTGGGCAATTTTGTGTAAACCACAGGACCATGTGTGCAGTTTTGTCTTGTGGTTTTGTTTAAAAGGGCATATTGGTCTATTTATTTTGTATATGGACAAATGTATGTTTTGATTAAAAGGGCATATTGGTCAATTTATATTGGGCAATTTTGTGTAAACCACAGGACCATGTGTGCAGTTTTGTCTTGTGGTTTTGTTTAAAAGGGCATATTGGTCTATTTATTTTGTATATGGACAAATGTATGTTTTGATTAAAAGGGCATATTGGTCAATTTATTTTGTATGTGGTTTACACATTATCAATGACAAATGTATGTTTTGTTTAAAAGGGTATACCGGTCAACTTCTACAACAAAAAATTATACATTACAATAACATCAAGACATCATTACATCAAATCCAGTGTAAATTGTTCCCATACATCACAGGGGTACACTATCAAGTACCAAAAGTAACAACCAAAAGGGTTAAACCCCAAAACACAGAAAGTACTAAACATACAATACACATAAACATAACATTATCCCAAAAAGACACTTATACCCCTACAAACATCAAAATCCCTTGAAATCCAATCACTTACCCCCTTGGCCTTTGCAAGTTCTAGCGTTGTGCCCTTTAATTTTACACTTGCTGCAGGTTACTTGGATAAACTTTCTTGTAAGCTTTCCACTCCTACTAGCAATATTGCTTTGACTCCCACTACCACTAGCAACATTGTCTCCCTTCTTCTGGCTTTTCTCCTCAGCAGAGTGCCTCATCTTTTTCTTTGGCCTTCCAGGCTGATTTTTGTGTATAGGAGGGGTGATTTTAATTGGGCATTCACTTATAGGCCACATTGCTCGACCTTTAATAGGCTCTACCTTGTACACATAAGCTGTTTTCCATGTTTCTAGCCAGTGCACCCTGTGGGCATAAGTGTGCAGTTCTCCAACTTCATCACCATTATCTGCTTTGTCATTTAGGACTGCAATGACATGCTTACAAGGGAGTCCTGTTAATTCCCACTTCCTACAATTGCATACTCTTTCAACCATATCAACAACATGTTGATCCTGCCATGGCCCTTGCACTTGGTATTTATCTGACCCATTCCACCTAACTGTGTACTGAGATGCCCAATTCACATTCTTCTCCATGATCTTTGTTGCAGATGGGGTTAGTGGACCAACACACTTCTTTTGAACCTTTATGAAATTACATATTCTTTTCATCATATACTCCCTAATGTACTCCAAGCAGGATATCAGTGGCTTGTCCCTTCCCTCAATCAATTTGCTATTAAAAACTTCACAAAGATTATTCAGAAGCATATCTGAAACTGCTCTGCCTGAAAACACCACAATATTGTCAGGATCAAACATATACTAATACAAAAGGATCAAACATATACCAACACAAAAGGGTAAATTTGGAAGTTGAAGTATATACCTGTGAAGTGGCTTCTTGCCCAATGTTGTGGGGGAATCTGCTTCAACCAATTATAAGCTTCTACATCATATGAGCTGAATTGATGCATCCTATGATTGAACTCTGGTACTGTTGTTGCTATAGCACAATTCCACAAGTGTTCTTTGTACTCATTAGTTCTCCATGTTTTTCTCATATTGTCATGTATATTCCTAAGGCAAAACTGTGCTCAGCACATGGGAACAACTGAGAAATGGCAGTCTGCAATCCCTGTAAAGGAATTAAAACATAGTTAATATAGCACATCCAAATATGTCAAATATAAACAACAAATTACAAACCTTTTGTCTTCACTTATAAATGTGAAGTTTGAGTTTGCATATAGGTCCAGATCATCTGCAATACACTCTAGAAACCACTTCTAATTGTCAGTGTTCTCAGTCTCAACAATGGCATAAGCTAGGGGGTATATTCCATTGTTGGAGTCTACCCCAACTGCAGTTAAAATTTGTCCTGGGAAAGGGCCCTTCATAAATGCCCATCAAAACCTAGAAAATCCCTCAGGCAAGCTCTAAAGCCCTTTTTCATTCCACCCAAACACACGTACATCCTTTTAAACCTTCTTGAGGTAGCACTTAGGTTGGGTTCTGAATCAAACTCTAACTTCACAGTGGTTTCTGGATTAGTAGACTGCAACTCCAGATGTAATCTCTAAGAACATCATATTGCTTTTTGTAATCACCCTGGACAAGTTTTTTTGCAGTTGATTTGGCCTGAATACCTTGTGAATAGAGAATCCAACTTGATAATCCTTTTGAAGTTGTTCTTGAAGAGCTCTGACTGGGATTGTTGGGTTGGATTCAATCTGGTCCATTATCTGCTTAGAGATAAACTTTGCTGTTGCAGATCTAACTTTTCTTGTCTGGAGGCATTTATGTTCGTGGTTGTAAGTTTTTATAAACCAATTACTATTTACATCTGACCTAGAACCTTGTATCTGATGGGTTTTGGTCATAAGACATCCTATGTGCCCATACAAACCCTCATGCTTGGATCTAGGTTTCTCTATTGTACGTGCTTTGAATCCAAGACTATAAACCCTAATTCTAACATATGGAAATCGACATTAACATATAATTAGGTTTAAGAACATACCTTGATTGTTATATAGCAATAACAATCACAACTCCACCTTGGATTGACTTTGGAATGCTTAGAGTCACAAGTGTCACTCCTCTAATGGCTTACAAACACCATAAGCAAATGGAGAAGGTATAAAGAGAGAGGTGAGAGGTTAGAATTCGTATCTAGGACCTCTTGGGAAGGGATACACGAATTCATGACCCTAGGGGTGTTTATATAGGTGTAGAGATAGGGTTTCAGTCATTATCCTTATCTAGTTGATTATCCATTAAGCAACCAATAAGATAATCCTTGAATCCTTATCATACTCGAATTCTAAGGCTTTCCAACCTTAAATTCTTCCACCATATAAATAAGATAATCCTTACCTTATTTTGTAACTATCACATAATTACAAATCAGCCCCTCTAGTTTAATTAATTACATTTGATCACAAAACTAATTCTTAATTAATTATTGACCAATATTAATTAAACAAATATGATTTCTCCTTTAATATATTATTCTTATAACATATTAATAAATCATATTATCCTCTCTCTCTTTATTCATTTCTCCAATCAAGTTGCTTTGGTGAAGGCAACCCAAAAGGACCATGCACCATCGGGTCAAGTACATACCAAAATAGTTATGGACTTAGACACTAATCCAACAGTCTCCCACTTGGATAAGTCTAACAACTATTATGCGTATGACTTCAGATCCTGATCTGCAATCGTAGCTTTCCAAAGTCGCTGTCAACTCTGATCATATCAGATACGCGTGTCCTTAGATAAGGGATCATATATTCCTCCATTCTAGATATCGTATGAGATATGATTTCTAATCATTCTCTTTGTACTATATCTCGATTTCCGATTTATGACGACAGACTAACTGAACAAATCAAATTAGCCCTAGCCCGGCCGAGCATTTACGTATGTCATCACTAAACCATCGAGGGGGCCCAAAGATATCGCTTTTATTCTTTGAATAAAAGGAACGGATAAACTTTGATACAATGCTTGCTTGCACTCACTCACCGAATCACACACAACAATATTTTATAACACCAAGTTACTAGTGTGTTTACATATTATCAATGTGCAACCGATTCGCAAGATACAACTCACACATCTCGGTTTCAAGAATATAAGATGTTATCGTCTCACTAATCACTCGTAATACAATTCATGGAGTGATCCAAGTGAGTGTGGGTTTAATCCAATGCTCAAATCATATTCATAAGCACTCATGAATGTTGCAGCAAACATTTGCTTATGTCTAATACTCTTCTACACAATCCACACACCAATTCACGACAGTCTTCATTCATATCTACTTCCAACATATGAACGACTGTGGCCCGTTTGAATAATTCGATTATTCTTAATAAACTCAATTATTCTGTAAGTCAAAACATGCAAAGTGAAACACAAGAATAATACTAATCCCATATGGCCTCAAACCTTTGAGTATAAACAAAACACGTTTTATTTATCACCATATCGATTACTCATTATTTTGTCGTTTCGGGTAATCAACTTTTTACTTGAATTCCAACACTTGTCCCATGCTCCTAGCATGCACACAATGCTTACCTATGGTTCTTACTTTTGTGAAATAGACAAATTGAACACGTTTCCAATCATTCTCATTTTACAACTCCAAATCCATTTTCTTAAGTATAAGAATATCAAATTCTTGTTACTTATAGAATATACTAGATTCTAACACTTTATGCAACGATCCTTTTGTAATGTCACTACACCAAAGTCTCAAAGACTATTGCCAATGATATTACAAAGTCCTCTAACGTAGATTGTTACAAGACAATTCCTTAGATATGATGTCTCTCACTCAAAGTACATTCCTTTGAACATCCTTTTGCATAAAAGTTTTTAATCTAGATTTTCAATATTTACTTCCCAATATAGATACATTTCCATACTTTCCATATGACAACTCATTTCTTAATAGAATCTTTTCTATTCATGCATAATGTCAATATGGTCCATTAATACCATGCTTCCAACTACTCACAAGCGACCAATCCTCGTCGAACTTTGGATTGTCCTTTGATAGTTGTTTAATTATTTTAGTCAAAACCGATTCTAGTCCCTTTTCCCTCTAAATGCACTAGACATTGAAAATTTTAGAATGGTCAAACATTAAAGCATTTGCAATCCATCCTATATCCGAAGCGTATGGGACACGACGCACAATGTTTTATTTTCTATGTTCTCAAAATTCGAATTATGAAGAGGAATGCCGTAATCATAATCGAAACTTTAAGAACAAACACACTATGTTACCTTTGACTAAATTTATCAACATTTCACACCTAATCCTTTAGATTGAAATGAAGCATAATATTATCTCCCTTAATTATAGCAAAACAACCTTTCAACTCTTACAACTTTGCAAAGTATGACTCTTGTTTTCTATAATTAATATTGACAACTATGTAATACGTGCCTTAATAATCAGACAATCATAACATTTATGCTCCCACTATCATGATGATTATTATAAAACATAACACTTATGCTCCCACTAGATTCGACATGTATTCATAAACATCTTAACTTTCAGAAAAACAATACTTATTGAATTTCTTAAGTTCATGTTTCTAATACTTAGTGCTTTGATAATCTTTTATCAAGGCTTCTTGAACTTATACACTTTTGCCTTAGATAGTTCATATGTGTGTCTTAACAATTAAGACTTATTGCCAAACCTCACAATTCAAATTATGGAAAGGGATGCCGTAACCATGATCGAATTCGAGAATGCAATTTTACAATCACTATCTTTTAAAATCTTTCTTAGTGAAAGCATTTTCTCACAATCATTTGCATGAAGGAGGAAATCTTATGACACTTAGATTTAAACGGTGTATGTGTTCCTATCCATGTGAATTTGTTAAAATCCAAAGTTTACGACAAATTCAAACTCATATGGATCGAACTTTCTTAATCTTGATTTCTTGCCTTATGGTAGCACAGCTGCCCACCATGTCTTCCAAGTAGTTAAGTAGCTCACCTTTTCCTATCAATGTACTTTCCATTGATCAAGTCCTGCCTTTTATGCATTCAAATGAGAACTCATAGGACTCACATGCATAATTAACTCGATTGGATTGGCACAGAACAAAATAATATCTTCACGATAGGTTGTAAACCTCAACTCGTGTGCTAGTGATGATCGATAAGGCTTATTTGATTTGTTCTTGAAACTTTTCAAGACATTAAGACTCCCACTGACTCCTTGACATATACGATTCTCTATCAAAACATTTCTTGACAAACAAATATTTCAAGAGTTAGTGTAGCTTATATCAAAACAAAACACTTCATAATTTGGTCTTAGTTGGTCTTTGTCTTATCCAAGACATCACAACTTTCCACAATTGATGAATGTTATAAACCTTCTTAATACTATTCACTCAATGTCACAATCTTGACTTTAAGACTTTTTTGGAACGAAGTATGATTGACTTCTTGATTTGACCATTTCTTCAATCTTTGATTCCTCTTCTTGACATACAGTTGTACCAAGACTCATTAGAGGATCAATTGAGATATGGTTCTTAATCATTAAGACCTATCATAAAGCATAAAAGCTACTCTCCCTTCTTCTTAATGGAGAAACTCTTATCTTTCTGCCTACTTGATTCTTCTTATTCGTTTTGCATTGATTCTAAACCCTTTAATCAATTCAAAATTACACTTAATCTTGTAAGTGTAATCATATTTACTAAGCCTTTAGTAAATCATGACGAATATCTTGTTACTCTTATGGTGAACTTGATCAACACACAACTTTGTGTACTCGATCTCCTAGTCCTTCACTTGACACTTTGTCAATGAGTTAGTCTAATTTCCAAATACGTAATTTCTCATTCATCGTGCATCCACGTTGCATGATTCCAAGTTTCTGTCCAATTGAAACTTGGGCGATGAGAAACTCTCCCTATTTGGTAAATTCTCGACATTTCCATAAATAACATAACTAAGAATCATATCCATTCATTGTAGAAATATGCAAACATCAATTTTCACATAACGATTTCATTGCAAGGAAGTAAACAAATAAATAAGTCAAACAAAATTTATTTTATTTATAAAAGCAGCGGAAAAACATTTGTCCTTACAATGCAAAAT